GAGAGAGCGAGAGAGAGAGAGAGAGAGAGAGAGAGAGAGAGAGAGAGAGAGAGAGAGAGAGAGAGAGAGAGACCGGATTTCACCACGACACGCGATATAATAGCGATACTGAATGAATAACTACCGATGAGCATACACGATATAATATAGCTAGCTCTTCGCGGAAGGAAATTGACCAAGTCGATTGTGTGCTACAGTGCGAGACTGACCTTACTAGCAATACTAGTGTGCATGCGTCACGACAGCCACACGCGCGTGACAAATAAACATGGAAAACGACAAGCGACTGATCTAAGCTCTAAACCCATTGCTTCTTAAACTGGTGAATGGTTCGCCTAAGGGTGAATGAAATTATTTTGGGGTGAAGAAAACTTACCAAAAACAAATGGAAATTTAGTCGCGGCCCGCGGGTGATTGAAATTTTGTGATAAAGACTCGAGGGTGAATGACACTGAAATCGTTTAAGAAGTGCTGATGTTACCCATCAGGTGGGCGTGGTTACATCAGGTGGGCGTGGTTACATCAGGTGGGCGTGGTTACATCAGATGCCTGGCTACACTAGCACTAGCGCTTGCATAGTGCGAATCCAAAGACACTGAACGATGCCAAATACATACATACATACATGGATACAACATAGATACATACATACATAAATACATAGATAAACACAATAACACAATAACAGATAATACATAGATGTTCAAACATCGCCGATAAATGCTCTGTGCGTATGTTTGGAAAAAGGGCAAATTTCGGCGCATTGGTGGCGTCAAACAAAACTCGGTTAGCCACTTGGTTGCTATGGCGACAATAACCACACGATTAGAACTGAGCATATGACGCGATTGGAAACGCACACAGTCAGGGGAAATTATTAGATGGGACCCTCTCGCGTAATATGCGGGTGTATAACAACGCCAGTAAGTGCGTCAGGCGGCAGTCTAAATACTTGGTTCCTAATTATAGGACGGGCTCGCGATTCCCACATAGACAACAATTATCTGAAACCATTCTCATTTCTGTCATTTCGCAGATTCATGTCATAGATTCACTGAGTAACATGACTCCAGCGATATGAACAACGAATCAGAAAAAGACGTTGCGAATAGAATCACAATGTGATCAATATTGCTTCGTGCATAAATTGATTAAATAATCAACTTTTAATGAACAAATTATGGTAATAAAAAAATTTTCCGAGCACAAAAAGGCGTTTTTTGGTAGAGCTTGACCTGCTAGTGCTAAGTGTGACTGTGATGTTTTGACATTTTTTGACATTTCGTCAATACATTTTAAAAAGATTTTTCTAGCCTTTTTTCCATGACCGCGAGATATTAGCCTGATGTCTGTTTAGCCTTTGTGCCTTCTACCTTCTAATCTAGTACTACACCACACACACTCAGACGTGTACACAGCTACTGCGCGGGTGAAACCCCCAAATATTCACCTATACTCAGACGTGTACACAGCTACTGACACAGCTACTGCGCGGGTGAAACCCCCAAATATTCACCTACTCAGATGTGCACACATACTCACAGCCAGGGGAAAAAATATTATTTATTTTTCGGGGGCTACTTTTCAAGCTCGCGCGTGCATGAAAATAGCACTTTAAAATTTGGTTTGCATTGAACTCAATGCAAATTTATGGGGGCTCTTTTTGGCATTTCCGGGGCTCTTTTTGGCATTTCGGGGTCACAGCTACTGTGGTGTGAAGAAGTGCTAAGATTGCTAATAAGATACTCACCTTATCTTCAAAGAAGGAGCACTGGAAGTGCACGGTGCTGCCCGATATCGAGTACAGCGTCACACTGTTCTCGCTGCTCGGATTCTGAACGAGAACACGCTCCAGGTGTGGCATGCCCACCGGACTGCAACACACGAGAAAAGACGACGACGAGTGAAAAACGGGGGAGGGAGTGTTCGCATACGATAAAAATGGGAGGGTGGTTCTCATATGGGGAAGGGGGAGGAGGTTCACATATAAAAATGGGAGGGGGTTCTCATATGGGGGAGAGGGAGGAGGTTCACATATAAAAATGGGAAAGGGTTCTCATATTGGGGAGGGGAGGGAGTTCACATATAAAAATGGGAGGGTGGTTCTCATATTGGGGAGGGGGAGGGGTTTCACATATAAAAATGGGAAAGGGTTCTCATATTGGGGATGGGAGGGGGGTCCACATATAAAAATTGGAGGGTGGTTCGCATATGGGGGGAGGGAGAGGGTGGTTCGCATATGGGGGGAGGGAGAGGGTGGTTCGCATATGGG